ATATTCCTGGCTCACCTCATGTCGGCATACTACGGGACCTAACTAGCTGAATGAACATGTAGGGAAATAAATACACCAACAACCATACTGCCAAACATAATTTAATCAACTGACAAAGCTGCAGAGGTTTACTGAACAAATAAAGCGGCTTGGCGTTCTGTCAGAATACATTCATGTATTTGCTGAACTCCAGCTGGCTGTTTTACAAATATAATCTGCAGAAACTTTAGCATAAGCAGCCCATGTTGCCATCTTTTAAGTTGAATGAGCTTGTACCTCAGCCGGAAGGGGTAAGCCCTTTGTAACGTGTCGAATGGATCGCTTTCCTAATGATTAAATAATCTTTGATGTTGCCCCATATCCCTTCTTTGAACTGACTAGTAAAATAAACATGTAATCCACTTTTAGAATTTTCTTCTATCCAGATAAACGGATATGAGTTTCACCATGTCTAAAGTTCCAAAATCTTCCAAAGTAGAATTCTCTGACAGGAGAAATAGATTACAAGATGGCCTCCCAGATAGAATGAAATTCTGTAGACACCTAAGGCTAGAATTCTGGTAAAGGATGAAAAATGACGTGATTTGCAAGAGTCTCTTACAGTTCCGTAAGTCTCCTTGCAGAGGTAATAAAAAAAGAGGTAAGTAAAATTGCCTTCTGTGTCAGAACTCACATGGAGTAAGACTCTAACGGTATGTAGGGAGACTTAATCAGAACTCTAAGCACTAGAGGTAGATCCCAGTTTGGAAATCATGCCATCCTGGGTGGACACAACTTAAAGAATGCTTTCATGAACTGGGCAAATAAACTATCTTTTTCCTGTAAGACTTGAAAGAGCAGAAATATGTACCTTTAAGGAATTATAGGCCAATCCCATGTCCACTGCTAACTGCTAAAATTCCAAAATGTTCGGTAATGAAGGAGATAAAGGGGGGAAACCCCTCTCTCTTGTGAACCCCATGAATCGATTCCAATATCTAAAATATGTAGCATTTGTTGAAGATGCTTGGGCTCACAGAAGGATAGAAATTACATCTGACGGAAGCCCCAGTCTGGTTAATCTTTCCCTCTCTTGAGCTGTGCTGCTAACTGCAGTCTGAAACGGTTGGGATGTAGCCAAGTTCCCCTGCAGCAGTAGATCTCATTTGTTCTGCAACAAGCACAGAGGCAACAATGCCATCCATAACAGAAGAGGGAACCAGGGTCTTCTCATCCAATAGGGACCTATGGTATGAAACATTTCCCTTCAGATCTTAATAAGTACTCTCAAAAGAAGATGCAAGATATCGCTCATCAGAAGGTCCCCTATCATCGAGAAGGCATCATGTACTAAGGCTTCAGGACATCTGAAGCAGGATATAAAGTTGGGAACCTGCACATTCGGTGATTTTGCCATTAGGTCTATTGATGGCCTGCCCCCATCCACAAAAATGTTGTGAAGGTATGTTTTGTTTACTGACCATTCGTGGTTGTGCATAAAGACTCGACTCAGAGAAGGTTCTCTACCCTCAACAGATTGGTCGTTGTTAGGGCCTCCAGATGTGTCTGCCCATTGACATTTTTTTGCCGAGATCTGCAGGAGAGGGATGCTTCTGGCGCCTCCTTGATTCACAACATATGCCACTGTGGTCCTGGTGTCCATCATACTGCCTGTGGATGATATGGGTGAAGGTCTTGAGAGCACAGAAGGTCGCAGTCCGTGTTAAAAGGTTGGATTGGCAGGACAATGGAGTAATCCATCAGCCTTGAGCATGTCTTCCTGAGGAGTGAGCTTCCAACTTTTGGAGACTTGCATCTGATATAAGAATAATGCAGTCTTCAGCGGTGAGGGGAATGCCCCAAGAGAGTTTGGATGGTATTGACCACCATATGAGATCTTGTCAAATCGGTTCTGGAATCTTGACTTCTTGATCCTGAGAAGTCCGATCCCATTGACACAGGAAGCATACCTGGAAACAATTCCTATGTCACCTGGCAGAAACCCCTGGAATGTCATACAATCTTTCAATGGTAAGGCCAGATTTTCCATCACTAGACGAACATTATAGTGATCTTGCATTGGGGCAAAAAAGCGCTTGCTAGAACCACTTGAACAAGGCTAGCATTCAGTTGTCCGAAACTCATTCTGACCAAACTCCTATAAACCAAGACAACCTGGCGCCCACTGCAAGAGGGGATGTGCCTCCAGAAAGGTTTTTCTGAAAGCATGTTGGAGTGACTCGCTTTTGCCTTAACATTCTGCAGAAAGGAACTATGGGTACACTTTCAATTTGATCAAAGACATTCTCATCCTGGCTTGCATGATTTTAAATTCCTGAAACTGTTCTTGAAACTTCCAGTTCTTCCAAAAAGGGTTCCCTATCGCTTTCTGGCCTGGGCGAGTAAAGGTGATTTATTTTTCTTTCCCCAAGTCACCACAATGCCGTCTCTAAGAAGGTAATTGCCACCCTGACACTGTCCACCTAGGTGGAAGAGGAAGGAACACCCAGTCAGCCTATTGCGCAGGCGCACATCCACAGGCTCCCTTCTTCAGTGGGATTTACCAAAAATAGGAGGCGGCCAGTGGAGGGTTTCTTATTTCTATTTCTTTTTTTTTAAATCTTCTTCACACTAGTAAGCGAAGGTGGCCTGGAGCGCGGACCAAAATAGAACACTGTGGGGCTAAACTTGCTCTCTTTCATTGTTTAATGAAAGTCCTGTTGAGTCAGGGAGGCAGAGCTAACCTGTAGTATGCTGATTGGGTGAGCCAGGAAATAAATATCATACTTCTTTTGGAGATTGGAACACAAAGACATTGGAGGGGGGATATTTAAATAAAAGTCAGAATCAGGTTAGTTTGTGCTTCTCAAGCCACTCGTCCACCTGGCATTAATGATTGTATCAGTTTTGCACACCTTTTTTTTATAGTATTCAGCAGACCTGGAATGGAATGATGTGTCTGAGGGGATAGAAAAGAAGAATTTTAATTTTTATCTATTTTTGTTTTAATGTTTACAAACAATTTTTATTATTCAGTTGTGTGAAAAAGAAAGTACACCCTCCTTTTTGAGTTCTTTGATTTTAAGTATCAGGACATGATAAAAAATCACCTGGTTCTTAGATGAACAACACATGACATATTAAACCGTGTCATTATTTATTTTACAAACGTAAAGCCAAAATTGAAAAATTATGTGTGAAAAACTACACCCTTACTGCTTCCATAGGAATTAAGAGGCTAATTAGCAGCCAGGAGCAGCTAATCAAATGTCCTCTAGGATTTCCAGGCTCTCCAGCTCCTCCTAGAAGCCCAGAACAATAAATGTTGTGAGTAGGGATGCACCGATACTGGTATCGGTGCCAATACAGAGTATTTGGGCAAGTACTCGTAGTCGTCCAAATCCTCCAGTACTGGAACTTCCGGTCAGAAGAAAATTTCCTCTGACCAGCAGTGCCGTAGGGGAACATGGAGCCGGCTTCCTGGCAAATCGGGAAACCGGGTGGCGAGTAATGACCCGCTACCCGGCTTCCTGATTGGCCCTGGAAGTTGGCTCGATGCTGATTGGCTAAGAAGCCGGTTTCCTGGCCAATGACAATCAAGCCGGAAAAACGTTATGTAGCTGGCTTCTCAGGCAATCAGGAAGTCGGGCAGCATGTCATTACATGCCACCTGACTTCCTGATTGCCCGGGAAGCTGGCTCTATGCCAGCGGAAGTATCGGTAGTTGGTATCTGCGAGTACCAAAAGCAGAATGTCGGTACTTGATACCGAAAAAAACGGTATTGTTGCATCCTTAGTTGTGAGGATGGTGAGCTAATGAGCATGGAGGAACTTGCATATCCTGATTACCTCTGAAGAGTGGAAACCCTGAAGCACTCTGCTCTAAGCACTTTTGGGTTCAAACCTGTCAAAATCCCAGCTGCAAAGATTGAGTGCAGTCTGTGTGCGGCTGGAGCAGAGGGCAGGAGAGACTTTAGGGGACTAATAGACCTCCAAAAGTATACCTATCACCTGCTCAGTGCTTTCACATTCTGGGATTGTTATCCCCCATGTAATAGCAATAAATTGAAGTGAAAATGTATATGATATAAATATCCCACGCGCACATGTATGTAAGCAACGAGTACGCAACACATACTGGGTATCATTCTGCACACCTTTTGTGAGAGAAGAAGTCACTCATTTATGGTTAACTCTAAATTGATGAGCTGTAAAGGCATTTAAATTGTCACCTTATTGACAATTTGGGTACTGTAATTTTTTTGCCATTTTGGGGTTGCACAAAGTTTTCAGGCTTGACATATTTGATATGTATTTACTCAGCACAACTTCATATTTTATTTTGTTAAAAAATAGGGATTATACTGTGTTTTTGTGCACTCAAATTCATGTTAGTGCTTTGTTTTTTAAAATGAATATTTTTTTTTTCTACAGCACCTCTGCTTTCAGATGGGAGGTAGTTTTCTAGCCAAAAGTACAGATTTTATCGTGTGCTAAAAATTTAGAAATTGCTCTGGTAGCGAAGTGTCAAAGTCTTTGGATCAGCATAACAGCAGCTAGTATTGGAGACTTCAGCAATGGCAACCTCCTGTATTTTCTCTGTACAGGTTCCCTTTATTCTAATATTCAAATATTGCATTCCAGATCCTTCCAGATTGCTTAGCAAAAACAAAATGCCTGTGTACACAAGCCCTAAGTTTTTTTTCCTGAATTATAATATTATGTCAGGTACAAATTTCTATTATAATATTGGATATGGCAAAGGCTCAGAGGACAAACCTTGCACATAATCCAGCCTGGTTATAATGGTTCTTTATCTTGGACCCATCTGTCTACTCTTTTTGATGCCTTTCAGTAGATTGAAACACCGTGGATGCTCACAGAATTATTTTCTAGTTGTCAGTAGACAACCTAATGTCAGAATGGACTGTAAATAACATCTTTAAATGTTGTGAAACTGTGATGTGATTCCTAGTGCCTTACAATAAGGATTTACAATACAATGTCTGTTACCCTTTCAGGTTAATTAAGATCTCTAGTGGCGTTTATTTGCAAAAAAAGACCCAGTTCATGCAACATCTACACAGTTACTGGCTACTCAAACGTCAGTCTAGGAATGGAGTTCCTCTTATTCGAAGACTTCATTCTTATGGACAGTCTCAAAGGAGTGCAGAGCAGGTGAGAATGAAAAGAAGCTTTATAAAAGTTCACAATCATTTGTATTATTATGTGTGAAACTGAGGGATGCCTTCATTCAGATTTCTAAACGTTAGAAAATTGTACTTTTCTCTGCCAAGTAGTTGTAAGGCAATGGGACTGCTGCATATGGGACCTGATGGAGTTTTACTATCCTACAACTGGATATAATAAAATGTCATGCAAAGTGATGAGTCAGAAATAAAATTCATTTATCTAGCTTACTAAAAAATAAAGTGACAGTCAATAAGATGGTTGTCAAATTTCTGTCAGAAATTTGTACCTGACAGAAATTTGACAACCATCATAGTGACTGTCACTTAATTTTTTAGTAAGCTAGATAAATGAATTTTATTTCTGAATCATCACTTTGCATGACATTTTATTATATCCAGTTGTCACTTTATTTTTAGTAAGCTAGATAAATTAATTTTGTTTCTGAACCAACATGAAAAACATAGGTAACTATCGTCAGAGCAATTGAAAACTCAAAAAGTAAACATATTTAAACCAATTTCAAGAGTTGTTTGGTTACAACGTTTATAGTTACAATTTATAACAAAAAAAACCCTCACATCTGAGAGCACAATATGGTGTGCTGGTCAACCAATGCTTATGGTAAATGGTCAGCCGGAATCTCTACTCTCCACAATGGATCAACGGCTTTACAGCGCCTTCAATAATTTACTCCCCGTAGCTCTCCTTCACCAGGCTCCCTTCTCCACATCTTGAGATGATGGCTTGGTAAGTACACCTTTACCTTTTTCTTTGTGGCTAAGCCTCAGACTCGCAGGTGATCTCTCAGAAGCATATGGGCTAAATGAGAAGGCACAGAGGGCACTCTAATAATGCAATTTACAAAAAACAATCCGTAAAACAATGACCATACAGACCAAACAACCTAAGTTCCACCAAACACATGTTGCCTCAGGGGCTGAATAAGTGCATTTCAGCTGACACATTGAATGGATCTTAGGTGTTTTTAGACTGTTGTTTAACTGGTGGTACATTTTTGGATTCTTAATAAAAGTAATTCTACTTTTGGAATTCCATTTGTGCCTTCCTATGCATCCCAGATGTGGATGTAAATGAGGAAAATGTGTCTTCACTCTGGGAATGAGATTTGGCAAAGGTGTATAAATGGATAGAAATCTTTTAGTAGACAAGACAGTTGATATATGTATATTCCAACTTATATTTACCTCTTTGTGTCGGGCTCAGTATGATGGCATATCTAAACCCAAAAACGTAATATATTGCAGCTTACTGGTCCTTGGATGAGGAGAATGCATTGAAATTCTGTTTATCAGGCTTTTTCTTTCAGGTTAACCTTGTACTCCTGAGAATAACTCGCTTCTTATCCCTTAGTGGCTACACCAAGGGCGTATCTGCCGCGAGGCAAACAAGGCGTTTGCCTGGAGCGGCAGATTCCCTGAGAGCGGCACTTGTTACACTTCCTTATTCCTCTCTCTATAGAGGATGTCATGGTTGCCACGCATGCTCAACTTCAAACGTCTGTCCCTTTTTAATCGACATTATATGGGGGATGGGAAAATTAGAAGTTCACAGAAGAAATACATGATTGTTTTATGCTTTCAGTTAAATTCACAGTGACAGAGACACCAGGGCTGCAACAACTAATCGATTAAATCGACGATAATCGATCATACGAAACGTTGTCATCAATTCTCATTATCGATTTAATTGATTGTTTGATTAGTTGTTCTGTGGTCTCTGTGTCCCTTCTGATCTGCTGCTCCCAGCGGGGATTGGACACGGACCCCTGCAGCCAGTGCCCAGCAGTGAGGAGATCTCTGTAACTCAATCTGCCCCCAGCCTCCACCCCGCTGCTGCTCTGTTCTCCTCCTCACAGGGAGCTGCTGCATGCCGGACACAGAACGCTGCAGCCGGTGCCAAGTGGGGAGTGTTATTTTAAATAAAAGTTTGGTTATTTTATTATATTGGCTTTGAGTTTTTCAATGCAGATTATTTTAAATCCAGGAAACAAATTAAATGTTTACTATAATACATACAATTAAAAAGAAAATGACAAAAGGTGGGGAACATTTTTGGTTTCAGCCTGACAAATTCTGGTGTGGGATGTGCGTTGCTGTGCCATTTATTTCAATGGCACCCCAAACACTCCTCCCAACCGCACTGGAACGCACGGCACCACAATGCATTCCAGTGCATTTAAATAGCAAAAAATGTGCCTGCTGTTTTATTTTAAAGTAAACCTTAAAGGAGAACTATGAGGTTCGAGCCGACGTGTGACAATGAAACTGTCACACGTGATGGTAGGACGCTAGTTTATGTCCTCCCGTGACCCTTAGGAGAACTATGGGGAAAAACACTTACCCCATAGTTCTCCTTTTAAGTTTGCAACAATCCATTTCTGTATTTTATTTTAAATAAAATATGTTTTTTTTTTTTTTTTTTCAAATCTGATTTATCGCAGAAACAAATTGGCCAACTAATCGATTTATGAAGCGAATAGTTGCTGCCCTAAAAGACACCATATTTCTGTCAATATTTAATACATTTTTTTTCTGTGCTTTATGAAAAGTGTTCCTGGCCTGAAAAAAGAAAACGAAAGCAGCCACCACATTTAAGGACTGGTAAGCTGCAATATACTACACTGTGCGCTTGGGTCTAGTTATCCTTTAAGGTGAAAGAATCAAAGGGACGTGGAGCATACATGGTGTATGAGGACCTGTGTCTTGTAGTGGTAGAAACTGAAAAGCAGTCTTTTTATATTGCATAGCTTGTATGCTTTTGTTTTTCCTTCCAAATATTGGGAAGCTGGGTGAGAATTATCATGAAATAATTTGTTATTCCTGCACCATATCCTACTTTAATCTATAGAAAGAAAGAAATGCACAGACATCATCTGTTAAGGAGGCACTGAAATACTGGCAGAAATTAAGACATGATCTTGAGAGAGCCAGACTGCTGACTGAACTTATTCGAAAGAGGGAAAAACTAAAGAGAGAACAGGTAAGTGAGACATTGTAATGTCTCCATAAATTGGTGATGTATTGGTATAAACTGGTGTTCTGGTACAAACTGATGGTGTGAAATCACCTATTTATACATTATAAATACAGTGTGTGTGTGTGTGTGTGTGTATATACACATTCATTGCCAAAAATATTGGCACCCCTGCATTTCTGTCAGATAATGCACTACTTCACGCAGAAAATTACTGCATTTACAAATGTTTAGGCATTCTCATGTTTATTTCTTTTGTTTTGTATTGGTATGACTCAAAAAAGCGAAAGTAAAAAATGCCAAATCTGACACATTCCACGCAAAACTCCAAAAATGGACTGGACAAAATTATTGGCACCCTCAATTAATATTTGGTAGCACTGCCCTTGGAAAAAATACAGTAACTGAAATCAATCGCTTCTTGTAACCATCAATGAGTTTCTTACACCTCTCTACAGGAATTTTGGACCACTCTTCTTTCGCCATCTGCTCCAGGTCTCTCAGATTGGAAGGGTTCCTTTTCCCAACTGCTGTTTTGAGATCTCTCCACAGGTGCTCTGTGGGATTCAGATCTGGACCCATTGCTGGCCAGTTCAGTACTCGGCAGCGCTTTGCCTGAAACCATTTCTGGGTGCTTTTGACTTGTTCTTTGGGTCATTGTCTTGCTGTAAGACCCATGACCTCTGATGGAGACCCAACTTTCTGACACTAGGCCCTACATTGCACCCCAGAATTCTTTGGTAGTTTTCAGATTTCATAATGCCATGCACACAGCCAAGACATCCAGTGCCTTAAGCAGCAAAGCAACCCCAAAACATCAGTGAACCTCCACCAGATTTGACTGTAGGGACTGTATGTTTTTCTTTATAGGCCTCATTTCTTTTTCTGAAAACAGTAGAATGATGGGCTTTACCAAAAAGCTGTCATTTTGTTTCATCTGTCCACATCACATTCTCCCAAAAGGATTTTGGCTTCCTCAGGTAAGTTTTGGCAAACTCCAATCTGGCTTTTTTATGTTTCTGTGTCAGCAGTGGGGTCCTCCTGGGTCTCCTACCATAGCGTCCATTTTCATTCAGATGGCGACGTATAGTGCGAGCTGACACAGTTGTACCCTGTGCCTGAAGGTCAGAATGAATTTGTCTGGAAGTTGATGGAGGGTCTTTATCCACCATTCGATCAATCCTTCATTGCAATCTTTGATCAATTGTTTTCTTTCGTCCACGTCCAGGGAGATTAGCTACAGTGCCATGGGCTGTAAACTTCTTGACGATGATGCGGACAGTGCACACAGCAACATTAACCTCTTGCTGTTTGCCCATCATAAAAATACGGGCGGATGCTTCCTGGCGAGTGGACGTACATTTACGTGATTTTTTTTTTCTGCTCGCTTCACCCCCGAGCCGAATCCCGCCAGGCATGTGTACAGCTGTTACCGGCTGTTACATACAAGCGTTCAAACGGCTCTATAGCTGGCTGATGGGTTGTATGAGGATGCACATGGCTGCCAGCCCCCTCTCTGCTGCTGGTTATCCCGGGCACCGCTGGTCGCCCCCTGCTGTGCACGGGACCGAGAACAGCGGCTCTCTGTACAGGAGGAGAGGTCAGCATTCCCCACTGCTGATCTCTCCTCCTCCTCTCTCTAAAGGCGCAAACTATGTGTATTACATCACTTCCACCTTTAGCTATAATTTCTCTGGCTGCTATAGCCAAAGAAGAAGCTGGAGAAGCAGATCTCTGCTTCATCAGCTTCTTTGGGGGTCCCCAGGTGACATTAGGGGTCTTTGAGACCCCTGATGTCTCCATAAAGAGGACCTGTCATTGTTTTTTGGCTATCACATTGGGGGATTTCTAGCCCCCTATGTGATAGCAATCAAGTTTAAGTGTTAAAAAAAAAATGAAAGTTTCCTATTAAAAATAAAAACACCTTAGGCCCTCACGTGTACGCACTTTTATAAATGTAAATACGCGTCGGGTGCGCCTATGTGTTAAAACGATGATTACGCCACACATTTTAAAGCTTGACATGTTTGTGTCTCTTTACCTGACGTGACCCCATCTTTTATATTTTACCAAAAATTTGGGTGCTGATTTATAACATAACGTAGGGAAAACAGAATCTTTTTTCACAATTTTCGGTACTTTTTTCATTATATAGTAAAAAATAAAAAACCCCAGTGGTGATTAAATACCATCAAAAAAACTATATGTGTCCCCAAAAAAATGGAACAAAATTAATTTCAGTACAGCATTGCACGACGAATAAATGTCAGTCAAAGTACCGCAGTGCTGAATACTGAAAAATGGCCGGGACAGGAAGGAGGTTTAACACGGTTAGCAAGTGGTTAAGCTCTCTGGAGGTTGACTTGTAACCTTGAGATTGTCCATGCTTTCCACAATTTTTGTTCTCAAATCCCCAGACAATTATTTGCTACTCTTTCTCTTCTCCATGCTCTGTGTGGCACACAGACACACAACAGAAAGGGTGAGTAAATTTTTCACCATTTTAACTGGTTGCTGGTGTGATTTCTATATTGTCAGAACCTGTTAATTGATTCAGGTGAGTTTAATTACAGATTACAGGAGCATCACAAACTTGGAATGTAATTATTTCTTGCAATTTGGAGAAGGTGCCAATTATTTTGTCATGTCCATTTTTGGAGTTTTGCGTGTCAGATTTGGCTTTTTTTTTTCTCCAATTTTTTGTGCCACACCAATACAAACAAAAGAAATAAACATGAGAATGCCTAAACATTTGTAATTGCAACAATTTATATATATATATATATATCTATATATAGATAGATATATCTATATATAGATAGATAGATAGATAGATATAGATATATATAGTATGTATACGTGTGTAGATAGATAGTGATATAGAGAGAGCGAGAGAGGCAGATTAAAAGCCCAGTCATCAGTTTAGAGTTAGCCATGAATATTGGCCTGAGAGCTATTGCTCTTACTCTGGCGCACGGGGCGATACCTGATATGTGTTGCGCAATCATCATTTTGCACGTAGGTGCACCCGACCCCTAGTGTCACCTTTCCACTTCACTGGGGAATGGCAGCTGAATGTAAGCACTGCAGGCAGTGACTAGGAGCAATAGCCAGCCTGCTATTGGCTATTTTAAATTGCAATAGCAGGCTGACTATTGCACCTGCCTGCTGTCAATTAGCAGAGGAGGAAACTAAAGGAGAAAGTTCTCCTTCAGGCCCTCATCTGCTGATTGTTCATTTATTTTTATTTGTCCTCTTTTAATGTTTGCTTTCTTTTTCTGTTAGGTTAAATTGCACCAGGCAGCAATGGAGCTAAAGCTGAACCCATTTAATGTGTTTCTGCGTGCTACTTTGGATTTGTTGCAAGAGAAAGACCCAGCTAACATCTTTAAAGAACCTGTAAATCTAAAGGAAGTAAGCTATCCATTCTTCTCTAATTGTAATGTTAAGTGTAGATGCAATTTATAGTTGTTAAATGTGTGACTTAATTACCAGGTACCAGACTACATGGATTTTGTTTTACACCCCATGGACTTTTCTACAATGCGGCACAAACTGGAATGCCACCAGTACTCATCCTTTCCAGCTTTTGAAGATGATTTCAAGCTAATCATCTCTAACTGCTTGTGTTATAATTCTCGGGAGACTGTGTTCCACCAAGCTGCTTTGCGTCTTCACCAGCTGGGTACAGCAGTACTTCATCATGCTAGACGTCAGGCGGAAAGTATTGGTTATGACCCACATACCCTGGTGCACCTACCTGAGAAGCCCCATGCTGATGACTACTACCGGTTCTCATGGGAAGAAGGTGAGATCTTCAGCTCTCCCACCTATATACCCTTTATGGATCAGAGCAGTAGAGCAGTTTTCACATCTCTGTTATGGGTGGCCTGTTCATACTGAGATAATGCATGGCAAAGAAGTATTAATTAT